CCATGGCTCACGGGCCCAGCCGCTCCGCGGCACGTGGGATCTTCCCGGACCGGGGCACGAACCCGTGTCCCCTGCATCGGCAGGCGGACTCTCAACCACTGCGCCACCACGGAAGCCCACCCTGTGCCTTTTTTATTGCTGTTCTCACTCTTTGTCTTAGCACCTGTTTCCCCCTGGATTTTTAACTTGCACCAGTGGGGTTTAAAGCAGCAAAACTGCAGCAAAAATCCTGTCATCAATGCTCATGGAGTCTTTAGTACCCTCCCCCTGACTGCAAGAGTCACCACTACCTTGTTTTATGTGCCGGCCATTTCCTCTTTCTCCCATGGTCATTAGAAATCAGTCACTTCACCGCTGGGGTCTGGGCTACAGAGGTGAGAGAGAGATAGCCCCTGCCCTCAAGAGACCCACAGGCCAGAAGATGAGAGAGACAGACAAACAAAAGTACACCAACTGAACAAATACAACAGAAAGGTGTGCAAAGGGCTGAGGTAACAGAGAGGAGAGAGTGATGGACACATTCGGGGAGGAGGACTCAGAGACGATTTCTTGGAGTAGTTGAGAACTGAGCCAGGTTTACAGCATAGGAACAGGTTTGTCAAGTGTACAAAGTTAGGGGACTGGGGAGACAAAATTCCAGGTAGGGAGACCAATACATGCAAGTAATGGGCCAAATTTCACCCACAAATGTTTTGATCAACACACACAGGTATTTTTGATGTGATTTAGTGTTCAACATTGAACAATTTGGAAACTTTATGTAAATATACACATTTCTAGCTTCTTTAAAAAAAATCAGTACAGCAGCACTATCCAGCATTTCCTCATCAACTGCAACTTTTCAACAGTCTTTTAAACAACGTATATACCCTTCAGTAAGTCACAGTCCCCACCACTCCATAATAACCTACACTCAAGCAGTGCACTCACATTATCCACCCTTGGATTGGTGAATTCTGCCAGTTCTTGAAAAAAACATTAGCAGCAAATGCATGCAGCCTGGAAACCCTTCTCCTCTTTCAGCAATTTGGTCATAATGTTGATTTGTTGAGATGGAAATTCTCTCACAAGCTATTTGGCTCCTTTTCCTTTGCCTGGCTCTCAAGTTGCCGTCTCGCTGCGTGTACCCTTCCTAGTTCTTAAATAAGAAATAAGGAACCTCTCTGCTACTAGCCATTCCTTAAGATACAAGCCCACTCTGTTCATTCTACTGACATGTCTTCTCTCCATTTACAGGAACTACCTTACTTTTCCTTCTCTTCTTCTCTCACTACCGTCACTCAGCCCATAACATCATCTCCATTGGTTCGTTAGTTTTGCTCTTTCAAACATATTTCTTTACACTTGCTACAGAGAGAACAACAGAATGGTTAAGACTCTGGCTCAAGAGACAGACAAATTCAAATCTCTGCCATTTTCTTAGTTGTGAGGACTTAGAGAGTTTACCTAACCTCTCTGGACATCAGTTATCCGAGATGCAAAGGAGAATGGTGATAGACTTACCTCCTGATTGAATGAGCCAATGTACCATGAGATCTAGCTCAGCAAGCTAGAGTTGTTGAAACTGTGTCCTCTCAGACACGTCTGCAGCTGGGAAGACCTCTCCACCTTTACTCTTTCCAGTTATACCTTATCTTGTTCTAGAATGTGTCCCACCTCCGTGAGGACCATCTGGAAGAAACAGTAGGTTTTCTTCCACTTGATTGGTCATTGTGAATTTGTTTGCCTGTTTTCTAATTTCTTCTTGTCGGACTCAAAATGTTCTCTACACCTCTGAAAAATTTCCCAGCATTTGAGACAGTAAGTTTTAGCTATTTTAAAGTTAGCAGGGAAGTGTTCTCTCAGTTTACATTTCTCAATCTCTAGTTTGTTCTTGAAAACATATCATTTTGGTAAATCATGTCCCAGACTGCTAGCATGTGTATCTAAACAAAGATCTGTGAATCCTGAGCGCTTACAGATGTGTTCTAAATATTTGACTGTGTAGATCACTTTGCTCCAAAAGGCAGATGAAGTTGCTGCTGTAAGAGAGGCTGTATTTCCTTGGGATGGTTTTCCATTTTGCATCTTTGAGGGCACACATTTTTTCTTCAGCAGTCCCTATAACATGGCTGTGCCTTTTCCCTGAACCTGAATAAATTCTCCTCTCTGACCCTCAGAGCCCTTGCACCATGGTTAACAATACTCACCTCACAACTGGGTTCTGGTTCTCACACATATTTCCCAAATCACACCCAAAATCTGTTTGCTACTTTTCCTGGAACTATCAGTACAAAATAATGTTATATTAACCCAGTTACACAATAATGCCTTGCTCTGCTGTTTCATTATCTTCAGAAATGTCTGGATTGGGAAAGACAAGTTTGGACTCCTCCTGCACCATCAAAAGACAAACTCTGACACGCTGTCAGCAGCACTGTGGGGTGGAGGGAGAGGGCGGTGGAGGGGGAGGCCGAGGTGGGGTGGAGGAGTGAGGGGGTGGGGAGAGAGGACAGGAGGAGGAGAGAGTGTGCTCACCCATCTTGCAGGACCAGACAGTCCAGAACTCCGTGTGTGAGCCCAGATCAGCCCAGCTCTCCTGTAATTTCCAGAATCAACTGAGGCTTGTGATCATTAGTGGGGAGGTATTCCAGATAGAACAGCCCCACAGTGCTTTCTGTGTATTTTTCAGGATGACTGACAAGAGCCAGCACATTACAAGCACTCATTCAGTTGACATATTCACTAGATTAGTGTGCTTTTCACATGTGTTCGTATCGAATACTGAACACAATCCCAAAATGTAACAGATGACGTTTCAGAACATTATTAGGAAAAATTTCTCTATCCTTTATCCCTCTCTTGCATTCAATTGTTTTTAATTATATAAAAAAGCCATATTCTAATCCAGACAATGGTCAAAACGAAACCATAAAATAAGTTATCAATATCTAACATCTTTTCTTTGAGTACTTTCCTTTGGCTCATACAGTAACCATTAACCATACAGGAAAAAAGCAAGTGCGTAATATCTGGATGCCACCAGAACAGTTTTACCTCACGCTTAGCTTTCTTATCTGTGGACTTTCAAACAAGTGGGCAGCTTCATTTCATTAACTGTCAGCTTGACCAGCTTCTTGCAGTGTTGAGTGATGAGGGTCACAGTTTCCGTCATGGAACTAGGAAAAGAACACACATCAAGTGACACAGATTCTAGGTCTAGATCATTTACTTTCTAGTCGGTTGTCCTTAAACAATACATTTCACCTTCTGGGGCTGTTCCCACTCTATTCTAAGCTAAGTCACCAGTCCCTTTAATCCACACATTGCAAACTGGCTGGTTGCTGCCAAAGACATCCCACATCAGCATCTTGCTTGACCCATAGAGTGTTTTTCAATTGGTAAATATTAACTAAAATCCAAATGTCCAACTCCTCTTGAAAAATACAAAGATGGCAAAGATGAACCAACGTTCCTGCTTGGCAACAGTTGCCTAAGCCGAGTAGACTACCAGCTCTGGAGCGGGTGTTTACTTCACAGGCCACCACAGACTCTACCTCTCCCTGTTGGCTGGCACCAGCCCTGCTTTACTCAGTTACATAAGCTACTGGCCCTAATCGGCATGTGATTTTGCTACCCTGTTTTAGTCATTTATCTGTTGTTGGTTTCCAGGAGCTCACCATCCAGCCATCCTCTTCTGAATACACTTTAATTTTTCAAAGTTATGCTTATAATATAAAGCATATAGTAGAAGCATTTCTCCAGATATCCTTAATATTAAAAGGTCCACATCAAACTGTTAGCTCATATTGAGCTTGGGAGCAATTAAAACTGCGGGTCTCCCTCACATGAATTATCTCATGAAGTTGATTGCCAACTTCTGGTCTGCTCTACCCTGCAATTTTTTTAATGAGAATCTATGGCTCTGGCCTGAATTTTTATATTTCTCATAGGGATCTTGTGATTATCAAATACATCATAATATGAAATCATCAAAAGCTTTGAAACAAAGCCCTAAGCAAGCACAAAATATTTCCTCATTTAAATACACATAGACTGTATACTGATAAGGAGGGTGTCTGTGTCAGTAAATGCATTTTATCATTTTTATTTTTAGTGTTTTGGAGTTTTAACTGCTTAAAAATATGCCTTTAATGTATCTTAAAACTGAATAATATGACCAATCAGATATTACTTTGCCGAGAGATACCTTTTGTCAGAAGAGCATTTTAATCAAGAATGACCTATAAAACCATATCACCCACTCTCTTTCTATGTGCTTTATTAACCAAGTTGACAACTTGCCCTACTATATATAGAAGGGAATATGTTTCACTTGCACCAGATTTACATGTTCTGCATACAAATGAGGTACTAAAAACAACATCATGTACCCTGTTGTTCACAATATATATTTAAACCATATCACTGGTTTGAATCCTCTCTCAATTTTTATATTTTTTATATTCTTATATTTAGGAATAAATGGTTATGGATCACTTTCAGAATTTGTTGCTTATCAAAGGCAATCCACAATCATTTATTATTAATATCAGAAAGCAAAACATATAAAAATAACAAAAATCAGGATAGCAGATGCAAATTGAAATGCAGAAGAAAAAGACATGATCCAAACCATCCCCCAGGCTGTTTGTGAGGCAAGCAGCAGCAGTTGGCTGCGCAGAGGGCAGACACCACTGTGCTTTTCTCTCTTTTTCTCCTCTCATGCCTTTCTCTCTTTTGTGTTTAAGATTGGAGCACAGTGCTACTTGGAATGCTCGGCCCTGACTCAGAAAGGTCTCAAAGCCGTTTTTGATGAAGCGATCCTCACCATTTTCCATCCCAAGAAAAAGAAGAAACACTGCTCCAAGTGTCTCAGCTGCTGTTTAATTATCTGAGGTAGCTTGAGACCCACCTCCACCCCATCAAAGGGTAAGAATGGCAGCCAACCTCTGAGACCCAGCTCAAGCCAAAAGGAGGGCATGACCAGAGAGGAAGTCTCTGACACAGAGGCTTGCTCCCCCACCCTGTGAGCCCTCCCAAACACGGCACACTATCAGCTAACTGCCACATCCTCCCTACCAGCCAGAAGCATCCACGTTGCACACTCTACGAGAATGCTGAGCCCGGATTCCAGCCAGTGCCACTGCTGACCACGTAGGAAACAAAGTCAAAGGCCATCTTGCATTTTTTCATCGCCCCCTCCAAGAACATGAAGCTGATAGGAAATCATCACAGGAAAAACAAAAAAAAGAACTCGGTTCCTGTATTGGTGGCCTTACTTGATGTCTTTTACAAAACATGGGAATACAAAACTAACCTTTTTTTTTTCTGAATCTGCTGTTCTACTATGTGTCTTACATTCATTTGTATTATTTTAAGAAATTTACTAATTTACCAGTTTACTCAGGCCTTATAAATCCACACCAAATTAGCCTAAAGACAAAGGGTTTTATATCCATTCCTATTTCAGCATGTTTCTACCAAAGCTATTAAAACCAACACGTACCTCTGAATGCCTGACTGTAAGGAGATAAAACAAAATGCTGAAACTTTTGGAAATATATGGAGCCATAATTTTTGAAACTGATTGAAAGAAAACACCATCTGAATTATTGCAGGTCCACATTTTTTGCCTAAGATTCACCCCAGATATGCTTACGTTGATAGGTAGCCTTATTTTTTCCACATTATATTGTGATGGAAAATTGCAAATGAACTGTGTTTAAGAGAGTAGTATTTCTGCTTTTCAGTCAAACTGATTGGGGAGAGAATGTGGCAGACCTATATTTTAAAAGATTCTTTATTCAGCAAAGTGAACTTTCCTGCTCCCTCCCTTCCCCATTGCATGCCCCTCTCCTTTCTCGATTTCACACTCTCTCCCACACCCAATAATAACTTTATTCCAAAGAAGGATCTGGCCATGGGGCATGAAAAAGTTAAGTGTTTAAATGTCCCCAAAGCTTAAGCAAAGTGCCTCAATTTTCCCTCTCACTTCAACTGAAAGTGCTTCTCTGCTTGTCCATGGGAGCTCCCATTCTTTTTAAATGATATTTTCCAAGTACAACTGGTACTAAAATATTGCCCCTCCCTATTTCCTGTACTCATTGTCCCAAATGTGTATTTCAGGGCTAGATCCATGGGTACCAAGCTCTGGATCCCCTGCTTCCAAAATGGTATGCTCCATGGAACAGGGACTTTGGCCTTGGGGAAGTGACTCTTCCAAACATCCAGGGATTCTTGTATCGCAGAGTGAGTTATTTCCTAGCTTTTAATTAGAGACTGTGAAGGCTTCTAATTAGTCTTATTTGCTTACAGTTACTCTGGAAACACCCAGGTAGGCACTTTATTTTTTATTTCAATTGCATAAGCGGAGTGCCTCTTTGCAGCATGAAATTATACAAATTTTTGTTTAAGAATTTCCAGATTCACACTCCTGTTGGAAAAAAGTCCAGTTTTTCCAGTTCCTTCCGCTCCTGGAGGAAGCACATTAAAAAAGAAGTGTATGGTGTGGGTCTTTTCTGTTAAGACCTTCCATGAAACCCCTTCAGTTCTGGGGGTTTTGTTTGTTTGTTTAGAATTTTTGAAATTTGCTTTCCCTCCTACATTTCAAGTTTTATTTCCCTTCTCCCCTATCTAGTTGCTAAACATTTTCTTGAACACACACACACACACACCCCAACCTAAAAGAAAACGGGAGTTTTGTAAGTCAAAGCTTGACATTTAGAGAAAACAATGACTTTCTCTCTTTGTAAATGGAAATCAACCATGTATAAACTATAACTCTGCAGAGGTTATGAATTCATCCTTTACAAACAATAATGAGCATTTAGCCCTATAATAAATGAAGTGCCGTTAGCTGGTTTTGTTACGTTATTGTGTGGTCGCGTCTTGCTAAAGAGCCACTCCTCACATCTCATTGATGTGGATGAAAAATTGAGAGCAGTATGTTTGCTCCACCAAGGAGAATTTTCCAGATGTGTGCACTCAACAGGCGAATGGTTCCCCCGGCCATCACCTCCCTAATGGGCCACAGAGATTAACTTGTTCGTGGTGGGAGATCTCTCTCTCACCTGGAACCAGAACCTGGAGAGAGACTGTTAGTGTCTGTGTGGTGCACAGACTCTTAGCAGTCTTATGAGCTAATTGTTGAATAAAATAATGAAGAACAAAGCAACCTAAATGTGTTAATGTCATTCCACCAAATTAATCATGTATTCCCTGTTTCATGGCGATTGGTAGTTCATTTCACTTAAAAGAAAATGTTTTCTGCCATAAGACTGAATAAAACTATATTCTGAAACCAAAGATAAAAAGACATAGAGGGCTTCCCTGGTGGCGCAGTGGTTGAGAGCCTGCCTGCCAATGCAGGGGACACGGGTTCGTGCCCCGGTCCGGGAAGATCCCACATGCCGCGGAGTGGCTGGGCCCGTGAGCCATGGCCGCTGCCCGGAGCCTGCACGTCCGGAGCCTGTGCTCCGCAACGGGAGAGGCCACAACAGTGAGAGCCCAGCGTACCGCAAAAAAAAAGAAAAAAAAGACATAGACATCTCAACAAGGATCCTTTAAAGGTCTACACTATCTTCCAAAATCAAGAAGGGGCAGCTGATCTCCATTGGAGGGTAGAGTCTTAACTTTTCAGAGACAGAATAAGCTATAGTCCAATCCCCTCATTGTACAGATGAGAAAACTCAAGCCCAGATGAGTTAAAAGAGATGTGTTGCAACAAAGCTGGGACAGATCTCAGCTTTTCTGCTTCCCATCCTTCAACGCCATACTATAATCTATTCATTATCAGCATATTAAGTTGGAGTTTTGTAGGTGTATTACCCGAGTTATATCTGTTTATCCTATAGACCCTAGCCACATTTCAAACACATGGCATGGGCCACTATAATAACATATCCCATCAAACTAGTAATAACCTAGAAACAAGAATCTGATCTACATGCTAATATGCCTGGAATCCGGAATATACAATGTAATGTAATCCCAATCTAATGGCTTAATCAAGTAGCTAGTTTGACAGATTTTTTTTTTTTTCAGTCAGATGGTGGGTTGTTTGGTAGAATTAATAGACTCCTTTGGAAACACAAAAGGACTAAGACACAAGTCAGAGCCGTGTTAACAGGAGAATTCTGGGCTGCTTTCTGCCAAGTAAATTTATATTCAAAGAGCATTACTGAATGCAGTAACTACATCCACCCTAAACCAGGCAGCACTAAACTGGGAAATCAAAAACTGAGTCATACACATATGAGAGGATGAGAGATTTGGTCCTGAGACTATAATAATAATATGTTTGATCATGACATGCAAAGAACCATTTGAAAGATTTCCGGTCTATAAGAGAGGTACCAGATGAAGTGGCTGTAACCATACACAACTTTCATAGAACACCAATAAGGAAATAATATTCAAACGGTAGTAAAGAGGCAGTCACAACCACATTCACAATTTTAGGAGAAAATTTTAAAAACCCAGAATTTGAAGCCAACAAAAATATCATCATTATCAGTGTTGGTTCCTATGAGCAATAACCGCGCAAAGTAGAGAGTCTTCAAGAAGAAATATTTGACTTGAGGTCAGCCTTTAAAGAAACAGTATTGCATTCATAAAGGCAAACTCATCCATAAGACCAAAGTGGAAGATTAAAAATCAAGGTTTAACTTTAAAGGAATGTTTGACACCATGCTGGAGATAATTAACCATTTATGTCTTCATTTTTAAATCTACCCCTATGTTTAGAGGCCAGAATGCAAAATGTGCATTCTCTTCAACAGAGAGAACCACAGGTCGCCAGCTATTCTCGTGAGTCATTGAGTAGGCTGCCCAAGTACAAATAAGGAAACTCAAGAAAACATTTTCATTTCAAGGACCATTAGAAACAGAAAAAAAGAGAGAGAGAGAGAGAGAGAAGGTCAGGGAAACCGAATTTCTTGCAAAGAAAGTTAGGTACTTTTAAACAGGAAACATTTAGAGAATGGAGAAAAAAAGCTATAACCAAATACAAGGCAAATACACATAGCTGACAATTCTCCCAGGGAATTGCTAACCTCTGACTGGTCTCTAGAGGCATAGGGAAGAAAGCAGGACCATTCACATGAAGAGCATTCCATGTTTCTGGGTATCTAAGCAGAGTCAGCCAACAGAGTTAATCGTGTGATAATCCTAGATAATTCCACCTCGTGATTCATTAAAAATGGATAGGGGCTTCCCTGGTGGCGCAGTGGTTGAGAGTCCGCCTGCCAATACAGGGGATGCGGGTTCGTGCCCCGGTCCGGGAAGATCCCACATGCCGCGGAGCGGCTGGGCCCGTGAGCCATGGCCGCTGAGCCTGCGCGTCCGGAGCCTGTGCTCCGCAATGGGAGAGGCCACAGCAGTGAGAGGCCCGCGTACCGCAGAAAAGAAAAAAAAAAAGGATGAAATGCTGGACAGCGCTCTTTGGGTCTTAAATAGCAGTGCAGGTCATCCCCTTCACACCTTCTCTGCCAATATGGAGCAGGCAGTCAAGGGAAACTTACTGAGAAATATGAGTGAATAAATAATTTTGAAAGTTTCCTTGAGAATGAACGTGACTTAAAACCTTCAAAGGATGACTGTGGGATATCTGGAAAGACAGTTACTTGTATGAAGGATATTTATTTATCTTGGCAGAATATCTCTAATTGCATTGAAAATGCACAACAGCATTGCCTTCCTAAAATTAAAACATTTCTAAACTGCAAAACAAAATAAAATAAAATGTACAACAGCAATAATGGAGTACCAAAATATGAGCTAAAGCAGCAATTCATGGTGTTTCCATGGTCAACAAAGACCAGAAGGGAAATTAAAGCTCCAAGCTCTACGCAGAGGCACATCAGGCATTAGAGGCTCAGCCCTGCTCCTTGGAGGTCTCTTGGGGTTAGGACAGGAATGAGTCAAGGAGGGTTTGGCTCATCTGTGAATTCGGAGGATGCAAGTTCAGTAACAGTTCTTGGCTTTTAACTTCTACTACAGGAAATTAGAGGAAAAGCTGCATGATTAGTCTTGGTCACGATCTATGTTTTTCTTCTCCTTAGGGAATATTATGTTAAAATCCAGAGTCATTTTGTGCATGTTTTAAACATGTTCTACCCTGGTAATTTCATTTTATTCTGAGTTCTGCAGTGACTCAGAAACTTCATGATACTGTAGCTGGTGTGATTTTGTTGTATTTTCAGTCATGTCCTCCAAGCCTCCCAGTATATGCAGTTATCTTTGATGAACAGGACCTGATCAGTGTTTGAGGGGATGTGATGCCTGGGGTAATCTGAGGACAGAGCTGAGTCTCACCTAGAAGGCATAGTAGCACACTTCACCTCCCAGAGACCCTGAACAAGGCAGTATTTTGAGTTTATGTTAATTCTTTGGAGAAAAAATAGAAATTCTTTCATGGCAGGGGGGTATGTTTGGGGTAGCTTTGTAAATATGCATCTAAAAGTATCACCACCTGCTATTTTTTAAATCAATTTTTGTAAGCAATCAGATTTTTTCTCGTAGAGGGGCTGTGGGCAGAAGGCTAATGAGTTCTACATTCTCCTCATCACCTGGTTTAAATTGCTTTTTACTCTGAGTACACAGTAACTGCTGTTTAAGTACGTCTCAGCAGAATTTCATCCCAATGGAAATGGTCCACCCTCTTCCCCATGTAATCTCTACAGAGGAAATGATAGACAAGGGGAGAATGGCTGACCTACTCACAG